ACAGCCGTCTGCGCCTGCGCGCGCCGCGGACCCGAGCCGCCCCTCGGCCCCGCCCGCCACCTTCCGGCCGGCCGGAGCAGCCCCATAACCAGTTTGTCCTTCTGCAGTGGCCGAGGATGGGGCCCTGGAATCAAACCTTAAAACCGTCCTCAGCTGATGGGAAAGTTGTATTTCCCCCGTACTGTTTAACGAGGCACGAGAAATGCGCATGGCCAGGTGTCCTCCCTTTGGCCGAAAACCAGCAGGTGCAGAAGCAGCCTCATGCTGCTTTCCATGGCCCCACAGTCTCCCTTGCGTAGGTATATTTCATGTACTGATGAACCACCTACTCTACCTGGTGACAGGCACCGAGTATCCCAGAGTGTAAAAGCAGTGGGGATAAATACACGGTGACCTGGCATGTTTGGGGAAATGGTGACAAGAAGCAACATCAAAGCCATTTAAGAGTTTGTAGCAAGAGGTTGGTATGGTCCAATATGCTCTTAGAGAGATCACCAGCTCAGTGTGGCCAGCCAACAGAGAATAAACTAGAGGTAAGGGCATGCGTCAATTAATGGGAGATGCTGTCTACACCCAAACACAGGCGGTGGGGATAGAGAAAGGGCCATGGTCAGACTCTTCTGGAAGTGGGATGATCAGAGTTTGTGGAAATGTCTGGATGTAGGAGGAAGACGGAATGTTAAGGATAAGGCTCAAGGAAGAAGTTTGGGAGTCTGAAGTGATGACTTCAGTTTTTGACACTTTGATACCAGTGGGACATCCAAGTAGAAACACTGAGTGAGCACATGATTACATGCAACTAAAATCTCAAGAGATAGTTAAGCCACATATAAAATAAGGGCTGAGAAGTGTGTCATGCATTGTTTACTTTGGGTCAAGTCATGACCGCCTTAATTAGAACTTTGGCAGCTCTGCTGGGGCTTTAAACGAGAGACATGTGTGATAACGAGTTACTTAAGGCATCTTGCAGTTGATTCGGTTTAGCTTTTCCGAGCCATGAGTGGGCCATCATGCACCCTGGGAGCTGTGTATCCAACTTGCTGCCCCTGCTCCATCAGAACCTGGAAGGGAGAGAGGCAGGATGGGAAGAACTGTGCCCTCTTGGGACGGCACGCACAGGGACTATGACAAAGCAGTAGAAAGCCCATAATAAATGCAAAGGGTTTTTAAAGTGTGCCCACTTGGTGAGAGTAAATGAGCTGTGCACACTGGGATCAGCCTTCCCCTCTGGGGAAGGATGCAGTTTGTAAAGTTCAAGGGTACCTTTAGGCTTAGAATCTGGATGGCTACAGCAGGACATTAGAATCGAGTGGTTTGTAGGACATAGAAAGGGAGGGATTTTAAAATAGGGTAATTGGCCACCAGGCTCTGTCCTACCAGCTTAATTTCAATAATTTTTTTTTCAAAGCTGTTGTTGACGTTAAGTGCCACTCGTTCCCACTGACAGCAGGCCTGCATCCAACAGAACAAAACCAGCCCAGCCCTGTGCCAGCCTCACAATTTCGGGCCCTACTCCATCAAAAAAACAAACAAAAACAAAACCACCGCCAAGTCTTTTCTGACCCATAACTCTGTAAGACAGGGCAGCACGGGCTCTTTGGGTTTCCAAGACTGTTGGCCTTTATGGGAGCGGACAGCCTCCTCATCTTTCTCCCAGGGAGCTGCTGGTGGGTTTGAACTGCTGAACCTGTGGGGAGCAGCTCCACGTGTAGCTCAGTTCATGTGGATCTAAAGAAAAGGGCACGTTGATAACACAAACTAGCCCTCTCCCTTTGCCACGCGGATACCAGAATCATCACACATTCTTAAAATAGAAAGTATTTCTATTCTACAGCAAATATAGAACAGGCAGAAGAATCCTTTTGAATCGTAGTTTGAGAATAGTGGCATCAAGCTCACTACTTTGGGACCCAGCAAAATAACCTTTTACCAACTCTCTAGTTTTGGAGATCAATCTGGGTTTCAATCTCCCTCCCACTCACTAGTGACTTTTTACAATATTCCTTTTTCTGCTTGTGAACTTATACAATCACACTGGTTTTGTGAGAGATAAAGGACATTGTATGTAGGGGACTTGGTGCAGGGTTCTCGGTTCAGCAGGAGCCACTGAGAGATGGAGCTGCACAGTGACTCCCAGCAGGCTTAACTGGGCCACCTACGGAGGTAGAATGGGGAGGGAGGAAGCCCGAGACCACAAAAACCTGGCCTAGAAATGGATGGTCGCAGCAGTGTTCTTGGGGCCGTTCCTGTGGCCTGCTGTAAGGCGTTCAGCAGCAGTGCTGCATTACTGCCATACATTATGTACAAGTTAGGTTTAACCTCAATTAGTCAACTACCTAACTTTCAACCTTCTGAAGAGACACATGACAAAAAAGGATAACTGTTATTTATTAAAAAAAAAAAAAATCAGGGCTGTCCCACTGTCCGAAAGCCCCACCTTGTGTACCTTCTCTGGTTACATTCAATGACAGTCCTTCCAGTTGCTCATTACGTAAGACCAGAAGCACTGCAAATGCCTCATACATCCAACCGGAGCTTAGCTCTGGCCCACCGTACTTATAAAGGCAGAATCATTTTCCACAATGGCTACTCCAGCATTTGCAGGTTCAGCTCTAGTTAACTGGAACCACACAGACCACAGACATTTCAATTGACGGAGGTTTGTCAAGTCACGGGGCCAGAGAAAGAAAACTGCCCCTTTCTTCAGCAGCTGCAAGAGATCTCTGTTAGCTCATTGCCTCCCTTGAATAAATGAGACACACAAAACTAATCTAAATGAAAACAATTTAAATTCTAATGACTACTGTTTAGGAAAAGAAAATCCTTTCTAAATTGGTAGTTAAGAATTTTTTTAAAAAATTTTACCTATCATCCACAACTACTTGATCTACTTTAATTACACTTTAGGTTTTTAAAAAGATAATCACTTTCAAGAGGAAAAAATGAAAGTTATTTCATTTAGATACAAAGCAATTAGCTTTATAAAAAAGTGTATACGCGTCATTCTGTCAGACTCCCTTCCTAGCTGCTCCTGCCACAACGGGACAGCGATGCATCACCGATGTCAAACCAACTTTCCTTCTCTGATCAACTGCGTAGGACAGAAACCAGACTTTTCAGTGGGGTGAGAATGCCCGTGGGTACCTTTAACGATTCACAGTAATTGTCGGAAATACGCCAGTATTTTATTCCATCGTTTGCTGTGTAGACTTATCCATACAATGCTGAAGGACTGTCTGTTCACCCCCTCGGTGTCCTGTCTCACAGCCTGGGGCTCTTCCGCAGCCCCCAGTGACAGGTAAAGATTGTGGCGCCACTTGGTGCTGAGGGGTCCAGTCTTAGATCACACCTTGAGAGCTTTCGCTTTTATCACCTTTCTGTGAAGTGTTACAAAATCCACTGTTGCAAAATAGCCTTTCCTGGAAATGCCTTGGAAATTTTTCCTGGTGGATGTGTTTATTATTCCTACGTTTAGTACTATTTCAAATGCTAAACTAGAATGTTTCCCTACAGTTCTTGAATCCTTTCAAACCCCAAACATATAGTCAGTTTTTAAAGTTTTCCAGTTAGCTGTTTGAGCCAACAGAGATTCCTTAGGAGCACCGACCCAACTCATTTCATCTCGCCTTCGGAATAGTGTTGACAAAAAAAAAAAACTAGTTACGTAGAACAAGGATCTTTCAATTACAAAACTATTGAAAGATTCCCTCATCAGCTGATCTATGAAATATATGAGCCGAAAGAGCTGAATTTTTAAAACAATTCAACTCAGTTTTTTTAACCCCTAAGTTATCAGAAAATGAGAAATCTGCCTTTAGATCATGCAGATTAAATCAATATTTTTCTAGCTGAGAAACTGTTTCTGATGTTATAAATATTCATAGCACTCCAAACTAATACTTGTAGCCAGTTACTTCTGTCTCTGAGACTAGGCTGAATGGTACTGTTGAGCCACAACGTATGACAATGGTAAATTATATGTAAAATATGATTTCTGGTATTTGTCCATCTTCTATTGAAGTGCCATTATTATTGCCAGGGGAGCTGAAAAAGAAAAACACAGTCTTGCTCGCAGTAGGCGTTTCATGTACTACTTTCTTCAGTCCTTTGGTGCCATAGTGGGAGTCCGGACCCTGAATGAGAACAAAAGGCTCATTAGCAATGCTCTCTTCACAGGCACTGTGAAGTCTGATTACATTACCTCACTTCACTATAACTCCCAGATCCCCTTTTATAGCATGGTGACTGATACCCCACAATCAATGAAAAATGAAGGGTTTGTTTGTTTGGCTAAAAAGCTAATTAATAATTAAAACAAACACAATGTACAACTCGTCTACTAGAGAACAGCGAACAGGTTTCAAGAGTAATTATTTTATCTTCTGTGAAACATCCCGTCTCCCCTTAAACAAGGAGCTCCTTCTCCAGAGCAGAGCGGGGCTGAGCAGTTCCCAGGGCAGTGGACTGGTTTCTTTCCCTCCCTCCTGTCAGCACCTCTCGGCTTCTGTCTACACCATGCTTTCGACAGCGGGAGCTCCCCTTCTGGAATATTCTGAGAGACTCTTACTTTGAGTGTTGCACATGCCGTGTAGCACACGTTGGGTAGGATCTCTATTGGGTCTTTGAACATGACCCTGAACGTGTTAGAGGTCCCATCACAACTAAATCCAGTATCGTTTTGTCCCAAGGTTTGCTTTTTTTCATATTCAATTATCTGTAATTTTTAAAGAATAAATACATTCAAGTTAAACCAACTAAAATTTGATAGAAAAATATGAAGGTCTTTAAATATAGCAGAATATACTACTAAATCTGCATGTGGGAGCAATCACTAACCAGCACAGGCAGCTTTAAGCATACTGTCATGAAACAGGAGTTTATTTTTCACAGCAGGAGGGGGTGCAGTAACTGGGGATGAGCTAGGGGGAAAAGGAGCTCCCATGAAAGACACACAGCCTTGTTGAGGGCAAGGAATGTACAAATGAGCTTTACACGATTGATGTATGTATGGATTGTGATAAGAGTTGTTTGAGCCCCTAATAAAATGATTAAAAAAA